TCAGACGTGTGCTCTTCCGATCTCCCCAAAACCCCAAAACCCCACATGAATTTAAAACAGAGTTATCATATAGAAAGAGAATGAGGCATTTTATAAATAAGTATAATAGAATAAAAGAAGGAAGATTGATTTGAGATATTTATTGGAAGTTAACCGTAAGCACGATTGTCATCAATAGACTGCACCACCCTTGACGTTTTCCTTTGCTCCAAGAATGAAAGTCTTGCATCGCTTAATTGGGCAAAGTCTTCTTCTCTTGCAGGTTGTGCATTCAAGCTTTAGGGTGACCTTCTTGGTGGTCTTGGCCTTCTTTCTGAAGATGGGTTTGGTTTGTCCACCGAATCCCTTTTGCTTGGCATCATATCTTCTCTTTCCTTGGGCAACAGTTGAGGCCTTACCAGTCTTGTATTGAGAGACCTTGTGGACTGAATGTTTGTTGCATTTTGAGCAGTATGTTCTCTTCTGTTTTGGAGCGTGCACCTATAAGAAAAAAATCAATCAAGTGTGAGCTATTACCATTTATCTTATACTAATAATTAATATTAAATAAGCTTTTGAGTGAACGTAAATATTTCCGAATTGTCAAATTATATATTAATTAAAGAAATCTAAGATGAAGTACATTGCTGCCTACGCCTTGTTAGTTTTGGGAGGTAAAACCGACCCAACCGTCGCTGAAGTTGAGCATGTCCTAAAGGAAGCCGGAATCAAGGCTGAAACTGAGCATACTGAGAGACTCGTTAATGCACTCAAGGGTAAAGCTTTCCACGAATTGGTTGCCTCTGGAAAAGCCAAGATGTCTCAAATGGGATCTGTTGTCTCCGCCCCAGCTGCTGGAGCACCCGCCGCTGCTGCTGCTAAAGTTGAAGCTAAGGTCGAGGAAAAGAAAGAAGAAGAAGCTGATGTTGATATGGGAGGTCTATTCGGTGATGACTACTGAGTAAACTTTGTATCTAAAAGATTTAGCTATTATTCTTTCCACTCTTTTTCAATATTATATTCAAGATGCCTCCTGTTATGGTTATTTCAAACACAGTTGGGGTTTTGGGGTTTTGGGGTTTATTCCATTTTATA